CCTGCGACCAGAGTCCAGGGACAGCGGGACACACACAGCCTCTCCTGGATTTAGCCTCACTTGGATCATGGATTCCTCTACTTCATTTACCAGATTCACACCGATAGAGGGAAGGTCTCCGAGGACAGGCGAGGCGGCAAGCGGGAATCCCTGACATAAGAGGTATAGGTCAGTGGAGTTCTAAACAAACGAGAGCAGAGTCTGTCTGGTAAGGAAGATTCACCATACATATTTTATGAACAACTGCTTATCATGGGTCACTAGACAGCAGGGACATTAAGTCTTTTAGATTCTGCCACCAGCCTGTCACACTGGCACAGGCTCTGATTAACTTTTTTATGTCCACACTGGAGCAAGAGGCAGAGGCTGAAGAGCCTCCTAATCACACTGTGAAGACACACAGATACAAACCCAGAGACAGCGGTCCAGCAGCTCCGCTGCGCTCACACACCCTGCACGTGGAAGCGGCTGGCACCGGCCGCTCAGTCACAAGGAAGGAAGCAGGGGTGTGAAGGGGCAGGTCACACCCTCCTGCCTCCTCAAGCTCGCCCTCTGCGACAGAGCAAGGGACAGGCCCAGGGCAGAGCTGCTGGAGGCCCCAGGTCTCCGTGAGAACCCTCCAGGCGCAGCTCTCAGGCGCTGGGCGTGTGCCTGTCTTGTTCTGCCTCTCTCCCACCTTGCCATTGGTCCATCCAGACACTAACAGTACCTACAATGAACCGCACAGCTAGAGACCAGGTCCACAGTACAATGGTGAAAAGTTCAGAGAGAAACTGCTAGTAAAACATCTCACGCCAGCTCCATGAAGTGTATGGCTGCTACTGTGTGCAAAGAATGGACGGACAACTGAGGCTGCTTTATTCAAATGTAAAGTGGGCCGGCACCAGCCAGGACCTCCACTCTGGCACAGGAGCCAGTGCTGAGATGACAACTCCTCCAAGTATCTGCTAGCAAGGGCTTCCCAGGCCAGGCCAGGGGGCCCACTGAGAAGCCAGACCGGGATGGCCCCGTCCTGCACAGTGGTCCCCCGAGGACAGAGACCAGGGAGCTGCTGTCACCTCTCGGCACGAGCTCCCGAGGCTGGACATTCCTAGCTCCCTGTCCTGTCCCAGTGAGAGCTGAGCAAGCTCCGCAGCCCGAGGGGCTCCAGAGGGCGAGGCAGGGCGGGCATCGCAGCCACTCCAGCTCACACAGCGCCAGAGGTCAGCACTGAGGACGGCTCACCCTGGTTTCCTCCCTGTGCTCCCTGGCAGGAAGAGCAGGGCCCCTCATTACTGAGGACCAGGACAGACAGGCCTCTGCCCGTGCCGCACACCCACGGCTGTGCTGCCTCCGACCTGCACCCTGTCCACTCTCACCCCGAGTGTGTGGCTCCAGCTCCTGTTCCTCGTTTGCATAGCACACGTTTTTATTAACAAAACCGAGAGAAACCTAAGGAAGACACCGCTCCGAGAGCAGCCCTGACCTCCCAGCGCAAGGCTGAGGTGTCCTCTCAGCAAACAGGTGTTTCTGTTTTTAAAAGAGCTCGTTGTGAAAACACACTGTGTGAGAAGCAGGCTCCTGGAGACTGGAGACTGCTGTGCACTGCTGAGTGGCCGCACTCGCGCCCACCAGGGATCTGGTGATGGCTTCTGTGGCATTTCCCAGTGTTCACCACACCTGGAGTTTTTTCATCTGGAAATCTTATGTGTGAAAAAGTAGAAAGACAGGGCTTTTTGTTTACAATGTTAGCTGTATTTATGCGTGTTTCCATATGATTTGAGCTTGTACTCCTAGCCAAATTTCTTCTAAATAAAATGACGCACAATTCAGGAAATAAACTGTATGGTGACATGTATCAAAATGCTTTTTGCTGAATCTGATGAGGCATGAGGTCTAGAGATCATAGACCATTTCTAGAAAATACTCAAGCCTCTGAGGACAGCTACACAGCAGTACAGGAGCTGAGCAGGAGACGGGTTGCAAGCATTAGGTGTCCCGCAAGTACTTGGTGTGACAGGGAAAAAAGTCACAATTCTTTTCTACTCAAAGATGAACAATTCACTTTATGTATAACTGTGATCCACAATACAAATTATGGTGTCACCCTCAAATGCCTAAAGAAAAGCGGCCTCGTCACCTGGAAGCCTGGGGGCAGCTTGGGCCCAGAGCACCCTCATGCCCGCCTCACAGTCTTGGTCTCCCTGAGCAGCAGAACCCAGGTGTCCGCTGACCTCCGGCTCAAGTTCAAACTGTGTCACTCTGTCAATATCTGGATTAGGCTGGGCTTTATACACAACAGGTTAGGATCCCAGAGGGATGAAAAGCTTTCCCAAATTAAAAGCAGAATTTTAAAAGGAAATACTCATACATTCCTCTGCACTTTCCGTCCAATATCCTCAAGGCTGGCCCAGGAGCCCCAGCTCACGCTGATTGAAAGTGAATGTTTCTTGTTGTGTGTAGCCTCTTACACATTTAATGGCAGGGGAAAATAGTAAAATGTGTTCCATGCTTCAATTAGACCCTTTATAACATGGCACTTCAAAGATGGCAATGCCAAAGAAAAATCATTAATCCATAAAAGAGACAAAGAGGGCCATGCAGAAGACAGCCCTCCAGGAGCGCTGGCCGGCGGGCACCCTCCCGGTCAGGGCGCTCGGCTTTGGTCTTGCCTCACTGTGAGTCTCCAGGTCCATAGCAACACGAGCACGCCCTCCACTGCCCTGGGCCCACAGAGCTGTCGGCACAGCCGGGCAGTCTCTAGGCTCGAGGGCCCTCTTGTACCCATGAGCAGCAGGCACCAGCGCTGCACCTGGCGGAGCAGCGCCATGAAGCCCTGCTCCGGCCCCCAGTCCCAAACAGCGGATACCACCTCGGGACCTGGAGTCACAGGAAAGGAGCTGGCCAGCGGGGTCTGAGCCCGTGTGGCCTCCTGGCCTCTGGGCTCACTTCCGAGCTGACTGATGGACTCTGCAGCCAAGAACCCCAGGAGCAGCGACTCCCTCCAAGCTCTCCTGCGTGCTCAGGAGCCTCTTCCCACTGCAGCCTGCAGTCCCGCGCTGCGGACACTGGCGCCAGCACGGGGCTGGTCTCCTTACCAGCTCCTGCTGCTTCCCTTGGGCTGGAACGCCCAAACCACCTCACAAATGCTCTGAACTCACAGTGACCCCCAGTCACACTGGAGCTGTCCATGTGTGTGACCTCCTCTTCAGTGAGGAAAAGTCATCTGCTCTTATCTTCCAAAAATAATCCTTCTTGCTTCCTGCTTTTTGGCTTCTGTCTCCACCCTATGGAACTGTGCTCTGGAATCTCGCGGCCCACGGCCCATCCCTGACTTGGCTCTGAGCCTGCCCGGGCCCCCTGGTTCCCGTGCAGAGGGTCTGCTCACGTCCCACAGGTACTCACGGCTGTGCCCGTCCTACAGGTGCCTCGTCCTGCTCCCTGCCCTGAGTCTGTTCCAGAGCTGCTGGTTTCTCCCCTTCTGTCCTCCGGCTTTGTAAGAGACTTTCTAATGCCTTCAATAGTGTTTAGACAACTCTTAGGACCAGTCCTTACTTTTGAGGACTGTTTAAAATCTTCCTGAGACTGCGGGCAGCATTTTCAGGTCTCAGTCCCTAACCCTGACTATCACGAGAGGCGCACAAAGATTTCCCGAGATCTAATTCTGGCTGCTGCTGGTCACACCTGGCCATAGCTCACGCCCACACAAGACCTTGGCCCAGTGCTCAGGGCCGAGGTTCAAGGTTCTTAGCCCGGCACTGGTGTGTGCCTGCTGCCCGAGGGCATTGCTCTCCAACCTGACCAGCACCTACCGCCTCTGGCCTCCGACTCATGGTCTCCTTGGCGTTCCCTGCACTGCAGCAGCACCCGCCCATCTGCAGCTTGCCTCTCACGTTTCCCATAACCGTCGAGAGCTGACGTGTGCTTGAGACAAGCCACCACGCTCTGCAGCAGGCTGCTCCCAGACCTCTCCATCTGCGCAGAGCAGACTTCCCTTCAGAGCTTGCCGCACCCACCCTCCCACGTGCCCTCTCCCCAGCAGGGACCCACGACCACCTCTGCCTAGACCCCGACACGCGTCGCGCTGCTTGGCGCCGAGTACTCATCTGGCTCCCTGCTCCCTTCAGAGCCAGGGCCCTGGACTTAGTCCCTGCCCTTTCTGTTCCACACTGGACCTAGGTGGGTGTGTTCAGTGAGGTCCTCAAGTCAGCAGCATCAGTATCTCCTCCAAAATAAGAGTTTTACCTCAGACTAACACTCTGGGTGACACCCAGAAATCTGTTTTGTTGTTGTGAGACAGGGTCTCACAATGTAGTTCAGGCTGCCTTTGAACTATGTAGCCAGGCAGGCCGTGAACTCTCCTGTGTCAGCCTTTTGAGTGCTGGGATCACAGGCACGCGCCACCAGGTCCAGCTAAAAATCTGTGTTTTAAGAGGACCTCTGGATGACGCTGACACGCTCCAGGTTCAGACCCCTGATGGAAAAGAACAATTCACACAAATGGCCAGAGCCAGACACAACATGCAGGAGCGAGCTGTTCCCCTACCTGCACAGGATGCTTCTGAACGTTAAGAACTCTACCAGGCTTCTACCCATTATCAGTATGTTACACCTACACTCACATTTAAAGGGTTATAAAAATTACAGGAATTATGACATAATGATACTCTTTTTCTAAAGTTCAAAACAAGATAAACAACGGGTTGTTTGGGCACGCATAAGTAATTTACAATTAGTGCTTTTTTTTCCTAACCAAGGAATGGTAACAGTAAAATCCAAGACCAAGTACACACCCAGGAAAAAGTAAAGGATGCACCCAGACCCAAACCCCCATGATACCCTGGGTCCTGGTTCCGTGGTCGGTTCCGAGATGTTCATCCTGTTACAGGTGTGAACTAACTAGTTATATCGACTCATGCATGGATAGGCCTGAGGATTACTAACCCAAGGGCATGGGTGTCACAACCTCTGCCTAGACGGCTCTGGCTCTGGGCCTCCAGCAACCCCACATGCGACGGTACCTGTGTGCGGTTGAACGCCACTCTGGCGAACACAGCCTGGGACACGCTGGCCCGCTTGAGCTCATCTCGGACCTGCTGGTAGATGTCGGGAGAGACCTCCACGGAGGAGCTGGTGGGCTCCGGCTTGACTGCCCGGGGTATGGGCGGGTGGTTCAGGAACTGCTGGTTGATGGCCTGGGGGTGCTGGTGGGCCAGCAGGCGGCTGACGGCGATCTGCTGGTTGATCAGGTGGGCCATGGCGATCTGCTGCCGGACGAGCTGCGGGCTGAGCTGGGGCGAGAGGAGGCCAGGGCTCATGATGGGCTGCAGCGCGGGCACTTGGTTGCGAATGGGCGCACTGTGGTGCATTTGGCTGTGCGGAGACTGTTCACTGGTTTTCCCCAGGGAGGCCAGCTGGTTCATATTTGGTAAGTGCATTGGACGCTGGCCCAGAACACAATAGTCTGAAAGGTTTTCTCGTTCCACTCTTTCCACTGTTAAAGAGATTAAACATGGTAAGTCGTCATTATTTTCAGTATTTATCGTTAAACTGTGGAGCACTTGGCTATCATATTTTGATACAGTAACGACATTGATTTCTTTTCATATAAGGCTGAAGCCCCAGACACAAGTGAGTTATCCTCTCCTGCAAAATATTACAAAAGGATTTTTTTTGTAAAAGATACCAAGGAGGGCTGGGGATGGAGCTAGGTGGCAGAGAGCTCACTGAGCGTGGTAAGTAATACAAAGCAAGCAGACAGACGGATATGAAGGTCGGAATATCTGTCACTCCACTTTCCTAAACATTTAAAAGTAAGTGTCTTGATGAAAGTCAAGGCAGAAGCCACAGCCATTAGATTCTAAAGCTCCTTCCCAAACTGTCATGTGCCTTCCTTGTCATCTGGGTGACTGTCAGCCCCTTATCTTCTTGGTGTGGTTCAAGGTGTAGTCAAGGTCATCAGGAGAGGACGAGGACATCTCCTGCTGAATTAATGAAAACCTTCCAATGCAAACTGCACACAAATACTGGCACCCAGCTCTGGAGGTGATCACAGGAAATGCCCACCACTCCTCGGCACGCCCATTCATCACATCCGGGAATCTCAGGGATGTGACACGCGTGAGACAAGGAGAAGTCTCCAAGACTAACAGCGTCACCTGGACTGGTCACTACATGGGCTAGTTACTTGATTACCTGTCATTGCACTTTACTGAAAACTCCAAGAATCACCTTAAAAGGGACAAGAAGCACAACAGGCGCCTTGGAGGTGTTACTAGGTTGTTTGCCAGGGAAGGGAATCTGCTCTGCTGCTGGGGAAGACACATTCGGCTGGGCAACTCCATCATTACCAGCTCTAAGTGCTCACAGGTATAATCTAGCAAAATCTGCTTTTGAAAGCAAATTTCCTAGAGACTGGGTAGTCATTTCTCACAACTGCCAGTGTTGGACATGACTATGCCACAGTTCTGTGCCAGATAACTGTCAGAAGCACTGTTTTGGGAGGTTGCTGGAGACCAAAGGTAATCAAAAGAAACAAACTTTTTTGAAAATAACTGTCCCTCTATTATGTAAATGGTGCTTAGGTTTGGCATTCAGTTTACAATAAAAGTAACTGGTACGGAAAATTATTGTGCCTCAAAAAACTGAAGCAGAAGTAGTATGTGCTAGAAAACTGGGAGATTCGACTTCAAACAAGAGTTTCTGTGAAGACCCAGGGGCGGTGACTAATCACACGCAAACAACGTGAACAAAATCAGTCAACAAACTGTAAGTGTGCACAAAACAGTATTTTTGAGTTAACAGCTTACGTATATTGTGATCTTACAACACATACATGAGAGCAAACTAATGTGTTAAAATGTAAGTAGGTATGTAATCATCTATGTGCCTAAAAGTTTTAGATAGTACAAACTTCCCATTTAGGAAACGAGTGATTGTAAATATTTTAGGATCACATTATACTTAGTGTATATTTTCCTCCTTTCTTTTTCTTTAATCGGTACCAGGGATCGAACTCATGACCATGCGCTTGCAAGGCAGGCGCTCATGCCGCTGAGCTAAATCCCCAGCTCCTTCCCTCCTTTCCTAAAGAACTGAATTTCTGCTTAACTTTCCTATGAACTCCCAAGTAAGTCCAATGTTTACTTCAAACTTCGTCCATTTCTAACTTGATCCTTCCCATGAAACCCACTTAGTTTACCAGACACCTTTCCTGAACAAGGCTGTGTTCGCCATAGTAGCGTTCAACTGCACCCAAGTACCATGGCATACGGGGCTGCTGGAGGCCCACAGCCAGAGCCATCCAGCAGAGGGTGATGGCCACGGGTGCAGGCTCTGGGGCCAGGGTGTCACCATGCGGGATCGGTCACACAGGCCTCAGGGCAGGACGACTCAGGAAGCCGCCTCGAAGGCAGCCCCAGGACAGAAGGCATCACCGCCCCAGCCAGCCGCAGTCTCCTTATCCTGATGTTTCTCCTCGAGAAGAACCTGCATTTCACATGACAGCTCGTGTGCGTACACTGGTAATTAACTTTATTTTTAAAATACAGCAATGGTCAAACGAGACATTTCTGACAACCAGATCCTGCCCAATGCTGCCACACTGTTCCCTTGCACCTAAGACATGAAGGACACTTTCTGTGCTTCAGTCCCTGACAGCTCCACCAATTACAGCCAAGTTCTTCTAAAACCAGAGGGAAAAAGGGCACCAGCCACCACATTCAAGACGCAAAGCACCCAGGGGCGGCCATCGGCAGGTGCTGCCTCCACCCGGTCAGCGGCTCAGTCACGCTCACCTCAGACATCAGCACCAGCTCTTGGCTCCTCCGTGGAGGGGAAGAGCGAGTGCTGTTTAAGAAAGAAGAGGGAGGGAGGGAGGGAGGCGGGCAGAGGCAGAGGTGGAGAGAGGAGAAGGACGGAGCGAGACCCACATGGAGGAGAAGAGACACGGAGACACCGAGAGAGGCAGAGCCAGAGCGGAGGGAGCCTGAAGAGAGGCCTCCCGGCCCGCAGCCAGTGCCTGCTTTCCCTCGCTGCCTCTCCTTTCCCCTTCCCGGGCTGGCTCCCCTCCTCCCCTTGTCTTCCTGGCCGACTTGAGGGGCCCTCGCACCACAGCGTGCAGCCCCAGCAGCACCTCGCCTCCACGCCCCGTGCTGCACAAGGGCAACACCCTAAGTCCACCTGCACTGCGACCACAGCCAACACTGGGCTCCAAAGCTTATGATGTCCCTGAATACAGAATACATTAAGGTGAGACACTCGGAAAGCGAAGGCCAGAGCCTGCCTCTGACAGCCAGGGCCACGCTCCCGGCCTCGGTGGGAGAGACCCGCGAGTGCCCACTGCCATCAGTGGAGGGAACGGAAAACGAGGTGTGTGGTCACCGTGAAGTATTATTCACCCGTGAAAAACAACCCAGTGCTGTCGCTGAAGAAAGACAAACAGATCTGGAGGTACTCAAAGTCAAGCCTGACACACTCTCCCTGCACAGAGGTCCAGAAAGCAGAAGGGAGACAGTGAGAGCAGAGGAAGGGAGAGGCGGAGACAGGCAGGCAGCTGTGGGCGAGCGGGGCAGGGATGGGCACGATACATGCAATGAACCCCCAAAGCGGTGAAAGTGGGGGGGAGGTGGGGGAAGGGACAAGGATGAAAAGTGATCCAAGTCTGTTACGTGCACCCATGAATCTGCCAAGTGAACCCCTGACACAGCTAACAAGGGAGGAAAAAAGGAAAAGGGGAAGCCTGAAAGGCCCCAGAACACATCCGCAGCAGGGCTGTGGGCAACTTAGTGCATCGTAAGACAGCACAGCGTCTCCCCGCTTTTCTCCAGTCTCAATTTCCAGTGGCAGTCACGCTGTGCTGCAGAAACAGACTGGACCTGGTGTCGGAGCTCCGCTCACGTCCACCTCCAGACTTCAGGATCTAAGGGCCGAATTCACGGGACCGATACTGCCACGTGAAAGATCTCTGCTGAGGCGCTACTACAGGTACCAGAAACAGCTGTAGTGTGATCAGCAGACAAAGCTCTATGTGCCAAATTGTTCCTTTTTCCTAAATTGTTTAGATAAGGTCATTCTGAGACAATTCTGCTTAAAGGTCACCTCCAGAAGGTCATCTAAAGAACCGTGGTCTTTTCTTCTGGTTCAGGTAACTGTGCCACGTCACCGTATCACTTGTGAAAATCAATCGTTATGCTTCACAGCAATGCACATCAAGAAGAATCACAGGCCTCGGGACGCACGCATGGCTCAGTGTCTTTCGATTTCTGCAAATGTGGCTTAAAATTTACAAGCTGGAAGACGAGACTGACAAAGGACATGGTTTCACAACTCTTGAAATTAAATTTGTAGAAAAGCTGAGTTTTGTTTCAAATTTTAGAATGAATAAAAAACGGGAAAAACAACAAATATGCTTTAAATGTACACATGCATTTAAACCACTTCCATCAACCAACAGAGAGGAGGGAAGCATTTTTAAAAGTGAAAGTTGAATGACTTTTTACTTTTCAGGGAATGTGCAGGCATCAAAAATGTCCTAACATAAAAAAACACACACATACCAAAACAACAATTTTTCTGCTCAATTTATGCTTCCCTCAACCAAATGCCATTATTTTTACATCTGTTTGCTATAGGTGCTACATAAAGCAGAGATCATGAAATTTCAGTGTCCAGAAGGACTCCCTGTCATCTGGCTCCTCTAGAGGATTTCTGAGCAGAGGCTGCCAGTTGTAAGTGCCTGTCACAGCGGGCGGCACAGGAGAAGCAGGGAGAGGCCACCGGGCCAGTGACTGCTTAGCCTCCAGCCGCTGCCCGCCTCACTTATCTGGCTGTAACAGGCACCAGGGCTCTGGCTCGTGTTTTCAAAACAAATCTCTCTGAATACTCGCTTCTGCTGCCCTGCTCTTTCCCTCTTTCTTTCTTTCATTTTAGAGAGGGTAAAATTAAACTTAACAAAACAGAACAAAGCAGATCATAAGAAAACAATTTAAGAAACGCAGTTTTCAAAACAAGACCACCAGAGATCTTCACTGTCTATCATATTGTCTCTTGTTTTCTTCCAAATAGTTGTTCGTATCTTCACACACAGTGAATTCATACTGAACAAAGTACTAAACTGATCAGAACAGGATGATGAAGGCATTTTAGGTCTTCAAGACCAGACAATAGGGAAGTCAGCAATGGCTGCCAGAGTGTCTCTCCTTCTCTTCGAAATAGGCTGTCCATATCTTTACATATGTTGAAATTAAACAAAAGTAAATAGACTAATATCACTCTGGACAGAGAATAATAGTATTGCTAGATTTTATATCATAACGCTACAGAATTAGCACTGGGTATCTTAGTGTCTCTTCTTATTCAGAGTATCTGTTCATTACATCATGTGTTATATAATCCTTATAAACTGTTTAGAAGTTCTACTCATGCGTGAATCTCTACATGTATACCTATCCTTTCTGTATTATAGGGAAAAGCAGATCAAAACAACAAAGCAAA